GCGCGGTGCGTGCGGGCAGTGCTGCTGTCGCGCAGTGCGTGTGCGCGGCTCATGGTGCTAGTGCCGTGCGGTGTCGGGCGTGTGCGCGGTGCATGCTGCCTGGCGGTGCGTGCTACGTGCCATGGTGCCGCTGCCGTGTGGTGCCGGGCGTGTACATGCAGCACGCTGTCAGACGGTACATACTGCGCACTGCCGGTGTAAGTCAATTTTCAAACTGTAGAAGTACACTTAGTCAATTAACTAAACCATAAATAAATTTATCAAAAAATACTTAGGTATTTTTAACAATAAAATTCTTGAAGTGTTTTAATTGGTCAAAACCCTTTCGATATCTTTCCGCATCGCAGACTTTCTCATTGATAGGATGTACAGTCATAAATATAGAAACCCAGTAGGGGGAACAAAATGGTATATGCTCAATTATAATTGGATGGAATATGGATCCACCCACCATACTCACATCTTATACGATCCACTTCGATTATATAAATATATAATTTATATTGTATCTAACTTTTTTCGGCTACTAATTTATATTGTATCTATTAGTTAAAAATTGGCATGATGTTTGTATTTTTATAAAATAGTGATAGGCTCAGGTTTTATACCTTCAATTAATTTTGTTAATGAGGTGCAATATATCAAAGTTAATTTTAATTCATTTTATATATAATATTATTCAATTTAACCAACTTTAATGCTCTTTACAGAGAAAAAAAAAGGGGGCAAAATCCTTCTATAATTGCAGGGTATAATAATTGGAAGAGTTTATTTGTTAATTCTGATTTATAGATTTGTGACATCAGCCAATTTTCCAATCGATGAAGACCCAATTTGGTAAGGCCAATCCTTCAAAAATCAATAGAGAAAGCAGGATTTTTGTGATATGGATCCCCCAAATAGTATAGCTGATTTTTGACATGCAATGCAATCTTTTCAACCCACCGTTGTCCAGAGAATCCAACCATTGGAATTGTCTCCTAGTTTCTTGTAAGTCGGAAATTGATAAAAAAAATTGTTGACTTGGTCAAAACTTGTCTGATTTGGGAAGTTGAACTGTTGACCGATCTCGCTCCATCATTAGGTCATGGGTCAAAAATTACATGTATATTAAAATTTTTGGAGACCATAACTTTACATTTGAGGTAGCTTTTTATTTTCAAATTTTTAATATCTAAGTGTTACAATTTTCTACAAGTAAAAAATTAAAAACAAATGAATATAAATTAAACAAAATAATATATAAACATATAAATATGTGTATATTGCAAGATTTGATCCATTCGACCTGTTGACAATGACAAATCCATTTATGTGAATTGTGATTACATGTTTTTTTCAAGAAATCGCATCATTATCATTTCTTTTTGTTTAAAGAAATTAGTGGTTCTTTAAATCCCTTAGAATCACTGATTTTTTAGGAAAATATTTTGGCAAAATTGATTTTTCCAACCAACCAACGCAGATGCAAGAAAAATGAAGAAAAGAGAAAGATATAAATGAGTGCAGAGAAACAAATAATGAGAGAGATGATTGGATCGATTAGATTCTTAGCATTGTGGTGTTACGGGTTTTAATTAAAAGATGCCCATGGTGGTCTTCCCATAGCCTTTGCTATATGGTAAGCCTTTTCACAGTGCACTCGCCCGATCTGTGATGACTCCATATTATGGAATCATGGTGGTCTTCCCAACTGAGAGGAATGCACTTTATGGCCTTCGCTTCTTGACTGTTAAACCATTGCCCGGTCACCTCTTAGGACACTTTGAGTTGCACAGTTTCCTCCAGCTGACCCAATGAACTTTGTGTTCCTGATTCTGTTGGCCCCCAGAAGAAATTCGATGCCCTCCTATTTAACAATTTGCATATGTTGATAGGCAGTTTGAAATGGGACACTGCATAAATTGGTGTAGCCACTAGCCAGCGCCACTGATTTCAGAAGAACCTCCCTTCCTGCCTGTAAGAGAAGCCTTCTCTTTTACTACTCTGTCGTTTTCTTTTCCATTCTTTTTACGATTTTTAGAAAGAGCTCTTTTTTTGTTTCTCGCCATTTCTACTAGTAGACCCAAGTACTTTCTTGATCCTGAAACTGGAACGTAGAGCCATCTGGAGATCATCTTCCTGATCCTGGGGGGAGTGTTAGTACTAAAGGTAGCATGTGATTTGTTGAGATTGATTTCCTGACCTGAGGCCCTGCAGAAAGTTTGGAGAAGCTGGTGTATGCCTCTGCAATTTTGAGTATTCACCCTAGAGAACACCATGCAATCGTCTGCAAACAGTAAATGGGAGATCCTTGGGCCTGACCTCAACATCTTCACCCCCCGAAACTCTTCATTTTGAACGGCCTTTTTTGCATCTGACTGAAAAAACTCTACATGATGATGAGGAACAAATATGGGGAGAGGGGATCTCCCTGTCTGGATTCCTCTAGAGGGTTTAATTTGGCCAGTAGGGTTCCCATTGATTAGGACACTGTATGAAATTAAACGGATGCACTAAGATATTTGTTTTATCTAGGGGTATCAACGGTATTCAAAAATCCGATTTCGAATTCAAAATTCGATCAAATTTGGATAATTCAAATATCTAATCAGTCGAATTTGGATATGACCTTATTTGATTTGATAAATATCCGGATTCGAACGATGCCCTTCAAGTGTGTAGACATGTTGGACTTGGAGGGATAAGAGGAACATGATACATAAAAAACCTGATAACAATTTTTAAAACATGACAATCCAGTATTGTTGTTAACTAGTTGTTAACCAGTCATTAAGTGGCATTTGAAAAAGACACAAATGCCCTTCAAGTATTATTTAATTTTCTTTATCAACCATCTAAACGTTGACAAAAGATTAACAGTCCCAAATCCTTGCCTTTTCCATTCGAGAAAGTTGGGGTCACGCTTGAGTGGACATTCTGGTGACCCCAACTTTCTTGAATGGAAAAGACAAGGATTTGAGATTGTTAATTTTTCATCAATATTTGGATGGTTGATAAAGAAAATTAAATGACACTCAAAGGGCATTTTTGTCCTTTTGCAAATACCACTTAACACTGGTTAACAACTAGTTAACAGCAAGTACTGGATTGTCATGCTTTGAAAGTCCAGGTACTGAATTATTGCATTTTAAAATTTGGGACCAAAGTGGCACTAGACCCAAAATACAAGGTCTTAATCGGGAATTTTCCCAAAAAAATAAGTTGGTTGGGGGTCTTGGGAATCAGAAACCGGGGCGAGGGGAACCCCCTTGAACGAGTTCACATTTGTGAACCTCAAAGCGAACCCCACATGCACATCTCAATTCTCAATATGCATTCACAGGAACATCTCCTGCGCTCCTCGTTGGTCACAATACACTGTTGGGATGTGCTGTTAGGCGCCGGTGGGGCGCCAATGTAATCTCCCCTTGGAATCTACATGGAAGCAATACATGCATCCATCAACTTAACCATAAAATTGATCTTTGAATAGAAAATTGCATTAAATACGGATAACACAACAGATTTGAATTATGCAGTCTTGACAACATAGATTTACCAATTAAAATAGCTAAAAAAACTGGACCATCTCCCTCCGAAACAAGGATAAAAAAACGTAAAAGGTATTGAAACTGTCTATTCCTTCTTACTGGATTCCTTCAGCTGCCCCTTCTTACGGATTCCAAGACAGAACCCAAGACGCCATGCATCAATGATGGATTCTGGCAATGAATATGCCAAACTCCATAGAACAGAGTGTGGCCAGTAAGGCGTGCATCGTGGTTCATAGCCTATCCAGCGCATAGCAGCCCGAGCATACCCATCTGTTGATGGTACCAAGAAGGAAGATTTTCTGATTGACGCCATCTTTGTTGCTACATACAACGGGACCTGAAACAAAAAGTAGAAACCAAATGAAATCCAAGCAACTTTCCCTCCAGCATAACCTTCAGGCTGTGTTTGGTTTGATAGAAAATAGGAGAAAAACAAGAAGTTGAGGTGATGTTATCAAGGAATTTCAAGTTTCCTGGGATGAGTATCTCATCCATAACTTGAAAATAACAATTCTCTAGTTTTTAATGACATTGCAGCTTTGTAAGAGCCTTCATTACAAAGCACCAAACATTGCAGCACCTATGGGGAAGCTCCATAGCTCATTTAGAAAGTAAAAGTGTAAGAGGTCAATGGTTTTCTAATTGTAAATTATTAGTACCTTGAATAAGAATTACACCCCAAAATGAAAATGCTAGATCACTGAATCTAAAGGTGGATTAAACAGAGCATCACAGCAGGATTGAAGCAAGGCAACTCAAGAGTAAAGAGTCCTGTAATAAAAAGACTAAGCCAGAATCTACAACCAGAAGATACAGATAGGGGATCAACCTCAAAACTTCAAACCAGTAGGCTAGAAGAGCCTTGTCTCTGTCTCTACTGAAAGAAGCAGAAACAAAGCATACTAGCAAATAAAGAAGCTAGAAACACAATAACTGGAATATTTCTATTTTTCCCAGACCCCTAGACCCTAGTTACAGTGTATGAATTATGCATTCCTTCAATCCTCTAATATTATTCAGCAAAAATCATGAGAGAAAAAGCAAATTTTGAAAAGAAAAAATGGTTATTCACCACAAAGACATAAAGATAATAATACCAAGAACAACAAGAAAGATAAATTCTTCCCAAGTGTACAACAATAGTCCATAATTCTGGGGCTCTCTGCCCATGCAAACAATTTGGCGAATTTCATTGATTTTTTTTTTTTTTTTTGAGAATGTTTTCATTGATTAGGGTAATGACATCCACAAAATCACTTCTCGAGTAGCCTACACCCAAGCATAGACAGACACTTCTATCAATGTCGACTAATCTAAGAAAAGATCATTAATAAGAAGGAAGTGTTACCCTATAAATGAAATGTTTGGTTATAGCTCAGCTGCTTACTAAAGAAGTGTCCCTCTTTAAGAAGTTACTGATCATGTGCTGCTAGGTTCAATAAGTAATAAGTAGGCTTTAAAAACTTTCAGGATGCCTTTGGTCTAAACATACCAATTGCATAATCAGACAAGTATGACCATCTCTAATTAAGAGCCCTTCATTCTGAACTCTCCACACCCCCACTAGTAAGTAAAGGCAAACTAAGAAAATAAACTCATTTTTAACCAAACTCCTTCATTTCATAACAGTTGCCTTTAAATTCAAAATAATATGAAAATAATAATACCAAATTATGTCTAATTGAGGGGCCAAATGAAGTTCAAATTGCTACCTGACATTGCACATCAATCCCACTTTTCTTGTATTCCACATAGAGGCATCTGGAGAACTGGTCGATATACCTGAAAATAAACCCAGGTAAACATGAATCTAGAGGGGAAGGAGAACAATATAAGACAGGAAGTCTTAAATCCTTGTAAACAAAAGCAAGCTGAAGGAGCATGAAATGGGTATTCCGCTTATAAACAAAAGCAAGCTAAAGCCTAAAGGTTCCTGTGTAACTAGAATCTACAACTACATGACACCATAGATCAATCGTCTAATGAACTCTGAAACCCTTCTCCTTCCCACCAAAGTGAAGAACAGATCAAGCTCCAGAATGACAGGGGAAAAGGAGATAAAAAAAGAAAAAAGAAAAAAAAATCCAGAAGTTACCAAGACAAAATCAGAAGAGAATGGTACTTAGTACTTACGCTTTGGTGGCAGCGTAAACGGCATAGAGAGGATCTGAAGGTATGACAATGGCAGCGCCCGAGCCAATATTGACAATTGCACCTTTCTTCCTCTTAAGCATCCCCGGAAGAACAGCCTGCGTAACCTTTGTGGTGCCCTCGACGTTGATTTGAATAAGATTTTTCAGAAGCTGTTCATCCACTTCATGGAAGAACCTAGCGTAAGGGTACGAAATCCCGACATTATTTATCAAAACCCCAACGTCCAACCCTTCAATGGCCTCCTGGATCCGCTTAATCCCCTCCGAAAGATCTCCAGCGAAGTCGACAACAACATTCCGGATCTGGGTTTTCCCAAATTTTGCCTGAATTGCATCGGAAACCTCCTTGAGCTTATCAGGGTTGCGACCAACCAAGACCAAGTTGAGACCTTTCCGGGCCAACTGAAAGGCGAAGCTCCTTCCTATGCCGTCGGTTGGCCCGGTCACGAGAGCCCATGACCCGTATTTTTTCAGATTCTTAGCAGGTCTCAGAAAAGTAACGTATACCCACTTGAGAAGAGCAAACGTGACCTTGAACAGAGACAGAGAACCCAGAACCAAGAGCAGAACCACCCAAGAGGGTTGAGCTTTGAGCTGTTCCATGAGACAGGCCGCCATCTGCACCAAAGTGATTCTCTCTAGTAGGAAAGAGAAGAGACGAGGGGATCCAAGGGATGATGGGTCTTGTTGGGAGGAATTAAATAAGAAAACCCCAGAAAGAATCTTAATTGAATGTGGGTCGTTCAAGTTAGCTAAGATTAGGCCGAAGAAACGGAGAGGATTGAGGAATCGGGAATATATATGCCTATGTTTTTCACTAGAAGGAGGAGGTGGTGATGATGATGGTAGAAAGAGACGGGTGAGCATTCAATTTCATGACTGTTCTGGCATGGGTACTACGGAGTTAACAGGTGGTTGAAGTAGATGAACTGACTTAGCTACTCCAGTGGAGTCATCAACTTCTGTCTCACCGCTTCAAGCATTGAAAACTTTATTCAAACCCATCATCTGAATGACTGAAGCCCATCTCTCCCCACAACGACTTCATTCAAAATTGCAAATGGGGTGTCATGTGCTCGCAAAATTTACGAGGACTTTTGGAGCAAAAAGAAATTTAAAATGTTAGATCTGTTTTGCAGAGATTCATAAAGAAGTTTTGGGCCTTTCCCTCATTTTATAATTTATCTAACCCACTATATTTGAAATAGTTTAATATAAAAAGTAAAATTAGCTATAGTAAACTGATAAATAAGCTGTGAATTGAGGGCGTCACTAAAAAGAAGATTTGGATGCCAGTCCCAGAGCAGCTACAGAGTAAAGACTTTGCTGGGATGAGCATTGAGGCTTTGGCTATTTTTTTTCCTCAAGTTGTCCTTTCTTTGTGGATCTTCAACCATTGCCATTGCCTTGCAGCAACAAACAATGAGCATCAACTACGAATTCAAGTGTAGGGACTTGCCCCTTAGATCGGCTACAAACTGAAAAAATCAAATTTCAAGGAAAAGTCAATGTATCTGACGTTGAAACTAGTTAGTTGACTTCTAGTTTGCCACATGGAAAACTGAGCCCCATTATCTTATAATAATTGTCTTAAAGTGACATTTCATCGTGGTTTCCCATTACATTTGACTCGAGAAACGATCTCATTTTCAACCTTTTTTCTTCAATTTCATTTGGTTTGATTGCAAATGGCTTCAGATTAATGTAATTGTTCTAAAATTAAATGATTTCATTAATTTGCTTGGCAAATATAACAGAAACAACCCCTTAAGCTACAATTTAACCCCATTAATTAAACGAATTCCTCTGTTGGTTGCTCCAGCCTCATTAGTTACTTACATTTGCAGCTTCCACAGAATGGATTGTAACCCTGTTACTTACATTTACAGCCCCAATTAAGAGGGCAATGAAGTGTCATGTCAAGTGATCCATATGGGCCCATTTCGTTAGTTACCAAAAAAATGGAAAAAAAATATAGCCCCAAACCATACAGAAAAGGGGAAAAGGCAAATTAGGCCAAATAAATAATATTGGTGGTTGTTTAGCAACCGACTACCCGGGCCAAGTAAATAATATCGGTGGTTGTTTGACAACCACCTACCGTATTTATTTTTCAGCCTGTTTGTGCCTTTGAGGCTTCTCAAGTTGTAGCTTGTAATTACGGGTGAAGGTGCCAACTGGGTAGTTGGCAAGTCTATGGCTAGTTATAGCAGAGACTTTTGCTGCCTTACCTGGGTTAGGGGTTTTGAGTAAGAGTTAATGCCTTAAATATAAGAATCAATAAGAGGGTAGTTACAGGGTTACAAATAGAAATTTATGAGAGAAAATGTGTTATAAATAGGGGTGAGCAAACGATTTGTTCAGTTTAAAACCGAACTAGTGGAATTGGAAACTGAACCGAAACCGAGGTTTGATTAAACTGAACAAACCAACCAATTTTTTTGTTAATTCGGTTGTTTGATTAAACCAAACTTCAAACAGGTGGATCATTCACTGATCCCACCAAAATGTAAAACATCATAACTTCAAAAAATTTGACTTGATAACTCCTGAGAAGCGAAAAAAAAAAAAAAAAGAATAACAGTTCAGTCTTGCTCACCATTACAGTCTTGAAGATTCACAGATGCTCACCGTTGTAGTCTTGGAGAATAACAGGAAAAAAAAAAGGAATAACAGCTCAGTCTTGCTCTGCTATTGTAGTCTTGAAGATTCACAGTTGCAGTCTTGTAAATTAACAGATGCTCACCATTGTAGAATAACAGAAGTATGCTCACCCCTAGTTATAAATAGGAGAATTCACAGTATTGGTCTATAAAGTAATTTCTTGTTCATTTTATTAACATAGTATAATATTCTATCATCTTTTGGTTCAATTTATCAAGAGTATGCAATATCCAAATCCAATCCAAGTCCAGAACACAATGGATAAGATTTGATTTTAATCTGAACATTAATGGGTCGACTTTAGATAAGGCATATCTAATTCAAAATTTGATCCTTGCATTCAAATATGGGAAGGACTAATAGCAAAGCCTTGGTACATGATGAGTCTGATAAAATATGGCTCAAGTGGAGGTTCCTAGTTCAAGACTTAGAAAAAGTTGAATGTACATTTCTCCAATTTGAGAGTGAATTACAGAGATGATTTGAACACAAATGCAATTTTCATATCTCAAAGTATCATCTACTAGCTGACATACTGCTTCTCTAGCAGGCTTCCACAGAATGCCAAGTCAAAACGCTCTTCAGGGGGATCTCCAATACAGTCAAACACTGCATCTGCATTCAAGAAGTCTTCATCTGCTGTGTAACTGCAATCAATAATGAAACAACCAAATGGAAATAGGGTCAACTGATCAATCAACAAAGACATGTCCCAACTATTCGGATACTAATTCCACCATTTCAATCTACCTAATGTCCTATATTCTGCTAAAGAATATGCATCCGGATATTTTCTCAATACTACAGCCCATGCCTTTTCAGCCTTCCCCTTGTCAAATGTCAGCAAATCATTACCGATCACTAATAGAAGTTGTAGATGGTAAGGGATAGGTAGAATGGATCACTCTTATAAAGTATTAAAATCTTGCAATAAACCAATCACACGGGTTTCTGATATAGGAGACATCCAAGGTTGGATCTTGGTAGATATCAATTTATCTCATGTACAATTATGCACTGTATGTATAAATAACACTTCTAGATCATACGGTTGAAATAAAAACTACAGTTTTATAGAAAAGCAAACCACTCACCCGCTTTTTGTTACTATACATTTCATTCCAGCAGCTTTGGCAGCTGCAAGGCCTATGGCACTGTCCTCAACCACAACACAACTGCAGAGAGTGAAGAAAAATGTATTACGTATCCAATTCATCAGATAAATCTGGTTGAGTGCTAACTTTAATTTTGCTTGTATTATGCTAGTAACATCAATTTCTTTCTATGAGATAGGGTGCCTAGTTTTACATACCCTGTTTTTGTCCTATTAGTTAATATTCAAGTAATTCATTATTGTATCTCTTAGTATATCAATTATCAAGTAAGCTGCATATGCTACCAAACTGGATTTGTTGGAGTGGATGTACAGTACGCCATTTATGCATCTGACATCAAATAAACTGTTCATGTGCAGATGTGCAAAATTATGCCCTCTTAATGGATAAAGAACTGATGAGTACAAAAATAAATGAAAGACTCCAGCATTCTGTTTTGTCAATTTTACAGATCGCCATATAAATTTTGTGAATATAACCAATTCTACAAATATTTATATTTATATCAGGCTATACCTTGATGGTTCAACACCCAAAGTGCTGGCTGCTAGTAGGTAAATGGCCTGCCAAGAAGAATGGAAGTTAGTTATCTAAAGCTTTCAGATAATGAATGAAATTTACCAAATCAATCCAGATTAGAAATCACAAAGAAAGAATTAAAATTACTGAATTAAACAATTGCAATAAAAATATACCGGGTCAGGCTTTTTACGAGGAACCACATCTCCTGCAAATATATCTATCTTTTTTGCTCGTTCTGGACCCAGTAAGCAGGACACTATAGCAGAGACCTGAGATTATCATGAATCTTGCAGTAATTAGAACAAAAAGATATACAGTATTTTTCATATGGTTATCCTTGATAATCCTCATCAGGGAAATAACAAGAATGAAGTTTTCATCACAAAAAGCAAAAGGCCCGAAGAATGTGCATCTTGTGCAATCAGAACAATTTTGTTTCACTTGTCACTCTCTTGCCCAAATTGTATGTGCTTCTAACTTATGCAACTACCAGCTTCAGGTTAATATAAATGACCAACCCAATAAATTAAATTTGTAGAACCTGGTAATGCATACCGCCTTCTCATTGGAAGTACTGCATACAGCAACTTTGACTCCTTTTGCCAAAGCCTGATCAATCAACCTGTACCAATAACCAAATGAACGTGGAAATTCTCTCTAATACAGTTCTAACCGTTTCAATTTTAAAGAACCATGTTAATCTAGTTTGATCAGAGAGTAATGCCCATGAGATTAATAATATGTGAACATGGGAAATAGAAAATTGTTAGTTCATTCATTAATAAAACATCTTCAGGATACAGCCTTGCGTACATGAAAACTAATGCCAAGCAAAGGATTCAAATTACAGTATAGTATTAGTTTAATGTAAATTCTGAGGTGACTTAATCTTAACCACAATATTACGATAAGAGAGCTCACTCAAACAGTAACTAACTTTGCAACACCAGGCCTAAGTGGGAGCAACTTCTTCTCAATAAGAGCCATAAACAATTCTGTCTTCCGCTTGTGAAGTGAAGCTATGAATTCCTTTCTTTCTTCTTCACTCTTTGGAGCTTTATCTGGCCAACCTGTCTTGTTGAAGTAGGATGTCATCCTAAAAGAATCAGAAGCGCATCAACCACCAATTAATGAAAAGAGTTACTCGAATATATATAAAAAAATGAAAGCTAGAGTTCTTGAATTTAATGAAAGGAATCTAGTTCCAGTGTTCTCTTTTGAGGTCCTTAACTAATGCTGGAATATCCTATGACACTAATTTGACTCAAGAAACAAGAGTATTTATAAAAATTCAGGAAAACTTTACCTCTCTTTTCCACCACCGATTTTGAGTAGTTCACCATATAAATCCACATCCCAAGTAACACCCAATTCCCTCTGTACGGTCATTTCACATTATGTCAATGATGCGATGTAGTTCACTGAGCATCTTGGGAAGATGAGTCTAAATTTTAATTGGAAAGTAAAAAAGAACTACAAGCAGCAATAAAAAACAGAAGGATTATCGATTTGTGAGATAGAACAATTCCAACTCAAAACTGAGCGGAAAGTTCCAATCAAACAAAGCTAAGGAAAGAACTATTTACGATGAATATCCAGAGAAGAAGAAAGCATAAAACTATCTAAACCTCATGGAAATTGGAGCAACAAAGCGCAATGCGCATAAAAAAAAGCATCTTATGCAATAATAAAATATCCAAATTTCCCCTGTAACGTACGTAGAGAGATATATTTATATTTATACCAAAATAAAGGGAAAAATCATGAAAGCAGGTGCATTAAAACCAAAACGCAATTCAATAAAATAAATAGAAAAAGAGTAATTTTATTGTCATATTTTCAGTGAAATTCACAAGAAATGACAGAATCCCATTCCAATGAAACTGACAGATTAAGCGAGAGCAAGTGTGATCCTACTTCAGTAAAAGTATCGTTAAAAGAAATTCGGTGGCCGTCCTTCTCCGTGTCGACAAGCACTCCATCACAATCGAATAGGAGGGCCGATGGAAGAGCAGAGGATGCAGAACAGATGACTCCTTTACGAGTGCTCTGAGGCGTCGCCATACGTCTACATAGGCTTGTCCGTCTTGGGAAAGAAGTAAAGCTCCTCTCTTGGCGTCCGATATTAGAAATGGAAGTCTTAATCGGAGAAAGTAGAGAATTCGCGGGAGAAATTAGAGAGTAGTTTCTTCTGGGAAGCCGAGTCGTGGAAGCAGACAACGAAGGAGAGACGACGGTTGAAGCAGCAGAAGCCATTGTAGACTGCACACACTCACTCTTCTCCCAGCTTTTAGCTTGGGCATTGTAACGGCTTTAATACCCGTCCCAACTTATCCTCCAACCGCGCCACAAATTCCTATAGATGCGTATTGCGCACTGGGGCGCATTTTCGAGTAAAGCTTCGACGGCTTAAAGGACCTGTTTGCTATGATGAGTCCTGTTGTTCTGCAATCTCTTACCAAGTGGACCAATAGCTGGTAGCTGGATTATGAATGGACGAGATTTTTGATCTGGTGGGCCACCACCATGCAATCATGCTTTGTATTTCTTTTAAGAAAAATAGGGTCTTAGACACATTATAGTTTTACGTATTTATTATAAACTACCCTCAAACTTGCATATTATTAACGGGTTCAACTATGATACCGGAAAAAACTTCTGACCAATCAACTGGAATTTATTATAAACTACCATCAAACTTGCATATTATTAACTATGATACCGGAAAAAACTTCTGACCACTGAAATCATAAACGTGGTAGCCCATCATGTGTTATCTATCAAAGATCAAATTTTGATCGGTCAAAACTCTTTCCATATCATAGATTTTCCCATTCTAACAGTTTTTTATGAAACAAAAACCTCCTCCCAAATTATTACGGGGAAGGTGTGGAATGTATACGACATGAAAATTGTAGGGTATATTAAGTATAAGAAACCCGCCAAAAAAAGGTTTAAAAGAAACCCTACACCTATGGCCTTTGATTTGTGCCCAACTCATTCAGCATGTAATCCATTTGATATGCCTGAAACATGGGTAATATGGAACTTCTCACCTCTAACAACTGTATTAACAATTAACATGGGCAGAAAGAGTATATTAACATCAGCCAAAACTTTTTGTTGTGTGTTACATCATCAGCCGTGATAAATCAAACAGCGCATGTTTACATGTAGCGTCCGTCCTTGTGGTATAAATTATAACATATACATCATCTCTTTCTTACCTTTTTTTACCTTCATTCTTCTCGTTTTAACATTGAACTGCTAAAATTCAACAAAAGATACAAACGTAACCCAACTTCATTCCACTGACTGATATGCTCTAGTTTAATCCAGCCATCTTCAGGTTCACCATGAATCTGAATTGTGAGAATCACACTGGCGTCGGTGTCCCTTTGAGGGCGGTTCTTGACCAAAGGGATCATCAGCACCATGGACAGAACTCAGCCGCGGAGAGATGTCCCACCCAATTACCCGTTCCATAAGTTCATTGCTATCTGTTTGTGATCGTGACTCCTCTTTGAACTTCATGAAGAAAGTTGATGACCAGTAATCCTTCCCCAAGTTCTTCAAAATCATTTAGTTTAGTTAGAAAGCATTTTAAGTGAAGAAGGAAAATAGAAAAAAAAAGGGTGCAACCAGCCATAGGTATGCAAATCGCATTGCCCGAATTGAAGAATTTTAACTACATCAGGCTTGGGTTTGGGCTTGAGTTCATTCAAAGTTTAACAAATGCTCAACACAACCTGACCGAAGTTGCACCCTCAACCAAGTGGTTTCAACTTGAACCAAAAGAGAACATACTGTTTTCATCAGCTGCATCAGCTCACTTATTGCATTATTAAAGAGATCAGGGTGTGCCAGGTCTGGAGTACCTAAGATCTCTTGCCGTGTTCGGTGAGATATGTTTACCTCCATAGCTGCACCTGCATTTCCATAAATTGTGCAGGATGGTCAATCAGATGAGCTTTATATAGTAATAAGGCCTGATATCTTTTGAAGGGCTACACAACGGGGGTAGCCCATCCCCCAACCCAGGTGCAGGTGGGATTCGATCCCAAGTCTCCGCTAAGACCAGCAGGAGACCTTACCAACCAGCTGGTTGGCACCTTAACTTGTAGTTAAATTGATATGCAATACACATGTGCCTATATACTTTATAAGATAGCACCTAATAAAACAGTATCTATATAATCACCCAACTCTTTAAGTCTCATATTGAAGTAAAACTGCCTCGTAGTATAGTTCAAATTTTCAGTTGAAACTTGATGGACAGACTATTAATTAGGCATATAGAGAAACAGAAGTTTCAGAACAGGTCTTCATTCACTAAAGAGCAAAGCAACAGGTAATTTAGTTCAGATATTTCTGCTGATATCAAATGGCTAACATACGATCGCTAATCCAGAATGTTCATTATAGTTTATATTCCAGCCAATCCAGAAAGTGCGCATTTGGATGACCACATAACTAAACCATCACAGCAGTTGCCAACTTTAGGGGATAATGTAAATTTTCATTGGTTAGAAGAGCACTCTGTTTCATAAAAACTGTTGGTTTGTGTAACAATAGCATATTTCAATAAACAGACAACATACCAGCAACTATGTAGTTCTCAATAATGTGCCGTGCCATATAGACCCTTCTTACAGTATCATCCATGGGTATTTTACCAAGTTCGTGCACTTCTTCGTAAAAATGTACACTTTCCCCAGCCAAACAACTGTAATTATAACAACAGAAATTTATTCTCAGGTGGCATTGAATGATAGAAGAACCACAGGCCTATGCACACATACAGAAGCAGATTTGCTAGTCAGATCATTTAGTGAGCTTCCCTAAATGATCACAGAATCTTACCCATAGCAAACTAGTTTGGACTTTGGAGCTCAACATGAGTCAACAAACTTTCTCTTCCCACTGACTGTGGGAAAAATTCCAGCCCAAAACACCTTGCTATGTATTCAAAATAAACCTACTTTCATAGGATTGAGTGAGTATGGGAGAGAGAGAGAGAGAGAGAGAGAGACCTATCTGCAAAGGCCATGAAAGATTGACGGAATCTTTTGTTCAGAAGAAGCTTATCCAGAGGTTCATTAGGATCTATTTCTGGTGTGGGTCCCCTTGGTAATAGTAACCCACTATCAGGTATGCCCAAAGCCATACTCATTGTCCCAATCTCCCTGGGTTCCCTTCTTCTCAAGCTCATCTGTGAGAGCAAAGGTTGGGAGATTGATAACGAAAAAAACGCAAGGACAAGAATACTTGCCTGTTTGGAAAACAAGGAAACCCTCATCCATGTTAGCAAGTAAAGCAAACAACTCAAACAAGGATCTACTCAATAAATTCAATAAGAGATACAAAATGGGGAAAAGAACTGAATGAATTAGAAATATTTAGATAACAACAATGCAAAAAAAATTCTAAATGAATTTATCAATTAGATGATATACCGTCACTAACAGTAGAAACCGGGAGGCAACTTGAAGCCATTCTGTATTTTCATGGATTTCATTCATAATGTAAGCAACCACCCATAGTCCTGGAAGTTTGAAAATCGAACAGGGCTTAAGATGGTGATTCATGAATAAAGAAGATAGCCGAATGATGTTTCAAATCTTAATTTGAGGAATGCAAAACAAATGCCCTTTAACATGCCCTCGGTTTTTTCTTTTTCTTTTTTTTTTTTCAGTTTTGGAAGGTCAAACTGAGTGCAAGGTTTTCTATTGCCTATATCTAATTTCACTTATTAGTATGGTTGTCATAAAAAACCATGCTCTCTTAACTGGTTATGAGAATTTCTGCCTTTTGTTTTCCAAGTAATTTGATGCAGTACTGTCCTGCTGAAATTTGAGCAGGAGCCTCCATTACAGTTCTATGTGTGATACAATTATGTGTGCATGGACCAAATGGAAGATCATCTAACTTGTGGAACACATAGAGATTACAACAGCCCTAAACACAAAATATATGACTTGTATCATAGGAATTCAACTTGCTTTAGCAGCAAAAAAGGGAGGCAAGACCAAAGGAGGAAATTTAAGTAGAAACATACCAATGGAGGCAGCAGAGACAATTACTCCCTGCAGGAGGTCTTTAAATTCATGAAATCGAAACTTGATATGCTGAACAGACCATGTCATAAAAACCATGGCAACAATATACAATGCATGGAGGCATACAACAGGGATGATCCACTGACCCCGCAAGTGGCATCGAGGATTTAGAGGCTTCTTTACATGAATAACTACAAGTCAGAAAAGGTCTTCATTACAAATAGTTAATTTCTATGGAAATCAGAACAAAGGACAATGGGAAAATCAAATAAACAAAAAGTGAAGCTGAATAACAATTAGAAGATTCATAACAGACTGATAAGCAGCAGACAACTTTCAATAAACCATACTTGGAAAAGTAGAAAGAATACAAGCAAGTCCTCTGGTTGAAAAAGCAAGTTGGAATTTTAGGCCACATCCCTAATTGTTACTAAAAAGTTGCATACTTTAAAAGAAAGAAGTATCCCCAATTTGTAAACTGATCATCATACAGTGGTATCTTTTGTCTTTTCCATTGGGGATGTGCAATTTATCAAAAATGGGATGCATCCAAATTGGGTACCAGTTGTACCGGAGGAGAGCTTAACAGGGCAAATTACTGAATTTTATAGGAAAACTGATAAATCAATCTCATTTGGGTGTCTTATCAGATATTCCCAGTGGTTACCCCTTTGAACTTTCTGTGAATCAACATCCAAGAGTAAAGGGCAACCCTGACTGTATTTTCAAAAATACATGGACTCCACTCTCCCCAGATTATTTAAGTGATGGATAGCAGGAACATGTTCCAGGTGATTTGACCCCTTTTACTTGGTCATCTCAAATACCATTCATTGGGAAGCAGATTTCTTTCTGGTTCATTGAACACCAGAGGAATTATCTATCTAGGTCCTAATGTTAGTTGTCTGGGCACAGAAAGAGTTTTAGTGAACAAAAAAAGTAGAAATCTAACTTAGCTAAGTTTAGAAAGACCATGAAAAAAAATAATTTCAGAAGATAAGGTAAATTAATAAATTTCAAATGGAATTATTAGATATCCAGCAAGGCATGTAAAGTTATTTATTGCAGGCCACACTGAGCAAGAATATTTTTGCAAGCACATTAGTTCTCAAGTCATAAAGGTTAAAGTTGGTCAAGATGGTGAAAATTAACAAATAGTGAAAAGAAACATATTGGGAAAATAATCACCATGAGGCATGGTTGTAAAAATTAACAAATAGTGAAGAAAAGTAACAGATATACTGTTCCTTCTAAAAATAAGATTAGTTTAGCCAAAAGGGTCTCCAAATAAAAATCATTCTGAGGCAGTGAATCTTACAAGCAGCACCAGCAATCCATGGCAAGAGAATCAGAGGAAGTAAGATATATGATCTGATTGGTGGTAAACGCCGCCTAAAATATCAAATAGCAAGCAAGTGAACCTAATATTAGTAAAACCAATTTTGTTGCTACCTCCACCAGAACTATTAAAATGAGTACAGCACAACAATGTAAGAAAGCAGTATGAAAACAGATGGAGTAATTCAAAGCAATTATTTGTGGGAGACAACACACACACATACATCAATTTCGAATTTTCCATTGGAGGTGCATCTGTTGACTGAGGCCTTCTTCCTTTTCTTAGTTTTTTTAAAGGTGTATATACAAAATATCCCTTACCAGCCCATGTCTAGCTAACTCATCAGCCACCTGATTCAGATTTCTTGGGATTCATCTGAAGCTGCACACAGCATACCATAGAAGAGGAAATTTCCTCGCTTTCATGTAAAAATGGGACAGTTTCCAGAGGCCAGAATCTAGGGCTTTAGCCTATTTTATGGCAATTCTAGAATCTCCTTTCATGCCCCTCGGAAGGCCTTCTGCTAAGTATCCTATCCACTGAAAGGTTGTAGCCATTGAATGTTTATACAATGAGTAGATGAGAATGTTGAAATATGCAAACATGAAGTCTAGGAATGCAAAGTTAAAGAAGAGTATACTTGGGATAATCTAGGAATACAGGAGATAAAGGAAAGTTTACCACATCATTTGGACACAAGTGAAGGCTGAGAAGCATCAATAAGAATTAAGAAGTCATGTGGTGCAGGTTAAGCACTCTATAAAAGAGCAAGGAAATGATCAGAAAGGAAGTGCACTGAGGTAGTTTGGGGCAAATATATATATATTCTGGGCACAGTTGTAATTTTAAAAAAGCAAAATCCTGGGGCTATTACTGTTTATTTCTGTGATTGTTGAATGGGTAGCCGAGGCTACTCACTGTTGTAAATTCTGTTTTCTCTATCAATAAAAGCTTCTTCTTTTTACTGATCAAAAAAAAAAGTCAAGCAATATGTCAGTCAATCATTGTTTCCTCCATTGCAAATTTTTTGGGGGTTTATGGGCCAGGGTGTTGAACATGTTTGATGCTTCCTGATCCAACTGAAGCATTTTATCTAAGCTGGCAATTTAAGGCTTGAGCAACAAGGTAGAACAGTATGGAAAATGGTGTGATTTGCTGCCTTCAGGGCTATATGGACTGAGTTTGATTTTTGAACAAAAGGAGAAAAAAAAAGTGAGGAAGAGATGGTGGCAAGGATGATACAAGAAATGCCATACTCTTGATTAGGGGTTCACAAACTTTTCAAGGGAAAATTGCATTGTTTTGTGTCAACTGGAATGGCAGAACAGAACAGGAACGTGAGAAGGCAACAATAATGCTGATGATCATCCAAGTTTGAGATCAGGCAGGATGGTCATACAAATGTTTTAAATCTAGGTTTGACAGTCATAAACTGGTTGGCCCAAACTGGTATAAGTCACTAAAAGATTTAATCCAGCCATAAACTGGTATAAGTCAAACCAATGTTTTCTACCCATGGTTGGCCCAACCACAATCCTGGTCTGGGTCAACCTCTAATCTGGCATGTTATAAAAATCCGTTACTCAGTTAACAATCTATTGACCCTTATGGTAGAACCATTGACCTATTTGATCTGTTCAGTGAGTTACCGGAATTCAGTATTGTTGTATTTTTTTAATTTTTCATAATGATGACATCATAGGTTGATCCATTGACCCAGATTGTTGAACAGTTGATCCATTGAGGTTCAACCTCCAGGCCAGGTTTTAACATACTGAGTCAAACCAGATTGAAAATCTGAACTCACCAGTTGGTGGAATCAACTACTAAATTAGAACTGAAATTAGATTCATTGAAACTTCATCTTAGTTAGAAGTCAACAATATCAACAAATTAGCCACTGAGCTTGGTGGTCTGACCAAATTGGACATTGCCCTTAATAGAGTAAAATGGTTAAACAGGATTTCTGGTAGCCCACACATAGTTAGAATAACCTTTTCAAATTGAGTAGGATAGAATTCTACATGTAACAATTTCAATGCAAGGTATGTAATTCAGGTCCACCATTAATTCTCACATTTGAGTTTTCTTGACTTACTTGGCAAATATGTGATACAGTTGGAAGGCCTGTACTATGCGACAGCTCAGCAGTAAAGCAAATCCAAATGGACCTTCGAACCAGACTGAAGAAGCAACCAAATATAGAAAATGGTTAATGCAAATATTTAGCAAGGGATTAACCGATTAACTACTTCCATGTGAAAATGAAATAACATGAAAGCTAACATTGATAGTAAAGTAAAAGCACCTGCCCAAATATAGCAAGATTGCCACCAATGCCTCTTTTTGATTTTCAAAATATTGATGCCCATCTGCATGAATCATTGCATCTTCCACTTGTAATAACCAATGGTAATAGATCTCCAAATACATACATGCATTCATAATTATGCAATAAAAATCCATGCTGATCTTACCACCATTGAGAATAAAAGATCGAAGCTAGCAAAAATTTGAATAATTAAAAGCCAGAATCCACTTCCTTTTGTACAAGGAATCTTGTGAACCACAAAGGGTAATGTAGAACGAGCAAGAAGCCTGAAAGAGAAGACCACTTAATCTCCAGTCGCCAAGGCACAAAAATTATTTCAACATAGGCTATTTGAAGTAAAGAAAATAAATCTGCATTTCTATAAGTAAGATTCATGTACTTAGGGGCCATTTAATAATGGCTGAAGTTGCTGAATTGAATGACTTATTGCTATGTTATTTAGTGGATAAAAGGGTCATGTGATAACATATTTGAGGGTATGGTAATCAACTCAACATGCCATTCAGCCATTTAGGAGCTAAGATACATGACTTATTCACTAAAACACAAAGTCATTTAGTTCAGCCACTTAGCCTTTATCAAATAGACCTTTAGCCAAAATGAAAAAACTATAAGTTTTTTCTCTTAATTATTATTCTAATTGGTCCAAGAAATAAATATTTAACATAATACTGTTTATTAACTTCTGTCACATGGTGTTGCTGCCAAAAGAAAACTAGAAAATGGAGGATGAGCAAGGGAATAATCTCTTGCCATGATCATGTAGGATAGAGAAAAAAGATAGAACTGTCAAAGCTCGTATAAATTCTAAATACCACCATGAATTAAGCAAGAACATCTCAACTGATATATTTAAGGCTTTTTTTAGTTGCATCAATATAATTGCCTTCCACATTTAGCACCCACCAGAAAAATATAATTCCCTCCACAAGTTTCAAAGCTCTTTATTATCAAAAACCCCAGTGCCAACAAGTGCTATGCATCTTCATTCTTCCCTTCCCTTTTGACCCATCAATATAAATGGTGAACCCTCTTGACCATCCACAATCTTGGCTTTTTAGACAACCGAACTCCCTTATCGTAGGACTTGTAGCTCAACAATCCACTAGGTGGGTTTGCTTATCAAGTCCATGGTCCATTAGATGGTTGATGCAAGGTGATCAAACTTATTCTACTCATCTGCATCCTTTGCTTATCCTCCAATGTGGTTCCTACTCCATAATATCAGGTACTGAAGCATACACATGTTCACTAATTATGATGGTTAACCATGGCCTATTTTCTGCTCACTTCTAAGGGCCTCGAATCCCATGAAGGGAAAAGGAATCTACCAAACATCTTAGCCATTGGTGGGAATACTAAGATCAACCAATAGTATCCCTGATACTTTGGCAAGGCAAGGAGCAAACAGAACATATTTGTATTTGGGAATGATCCCCAAAGCGGAAACTTGTAAATAACAAATTAGAACAGGTTGGTAGCTGCTGCTAGCCTAAAGGCCCCAAACAAAGGGGTCCTCAGGCAGAACTCTACTTGTACTTTTTGTTTTGTTTTTTACTTTTTTTTTTTTTTGAGAAATGGTAAATTTCATTAAAAAGAAAGGAGAGGGATATACAGTATGTATAAGAGATACATTAATCAGGTACTAAACAAAAACCAAAAAGCCTTCCCTACCCATTAAAAAGGAAGCTCTATATTGCTGTACAAAAAATCCCTGCCCACCCCAGATTTAGCAAGAGCATCCGCTACTCTAGTGAGTTCAAATTTCTTGGAATTCACCTTAAGACAGTGTAGCTGCGATTGGATAACCCTGATTTCATTGATCTGATGAGAGAATCTCCAAGGCCCCTCCCGATTTAATATCCAGCTTATTACCACCTTTGAGTCTGTCTCCTTCTACCACCACTGAAGAAATATTCAGGGGTACGCTATTCTTCAATTTGCATTTAATAAAGTTTTGGTTCTTGATGACAAAAAAAAGGCACCAATAGGATCATGTCCTTGTTTTTTAGTGCATAATCCATGTTCAACACCTTGTCCATGCCATGCGTGTAACATAGATGTGCAAAAACTTGGTGTTTCTATACAGAATGTAAAGCTCATCATCATTAATCTAAACCTTGTCCCAACTATATGAGGTTGGCTACATAAATCTTGTTTCGCCATTCCAATGTGAAGCCCTTGTTAATATAAATATAGATTCCATCTAAGCAGAAGCAATGGTGTTCCACCTTTTCTAATAATAATAATATTTCGGGGAGAAAAAAATTCCCACTTCCAAATATATTACCTCATACATCCTCTGATCTACACAAGTCAACCAATTAATCCTCTTCACTTCCCAGATAGGATCATAACATACTTACTACAGATCCCAAGAGCAGTCCAAGTACCAAGGCAATTGGGTAAGTCCAATTCAGGTTCAATGTTTTGCACAGCTCTTGAAAGTCTGCCACTGATTGACATTGCTAAAATCCATTCCCTATTATTTTTCAGGAAATTCTTCTATAAAGCCCATCTCTGCTTGTTTCCTAATAGTTTGTAACCTTAAGAAAAGAGCACATTATTATTCTTTTCTCTAATGTTTCCTATAACAGCTATGTTTGGTTCAAAGACTCTGACCACAAAACAACATGTTGAGATTACCAATAAAAGTGTAAAATGAAAAAAAAAAAACATGAAAACAATGTTTAAGTTCATCAATAATCTGTTCAGGCTTGTTGAGGTAACGTTGAAAAGAATTTCCAGGATAAGGATAGATCAATCCCCACAATGAATAGGTGGGATGTTTTTATTTTGAATGGACTAAGGTGCTCAAGGAGTCTAATACCTAGAGGTGTAAATCGAGCCGTGCCGCCCGCAGCCCAGCATGACCTGGCCCAATTTTGAGCCGGCCCAGCCCAATAGTCATGGGCCGTGCCACTACCCAGAACGATTGTATGGGCCGTGCCAGGCTTGGGGTTTCAGGTCCGCAGGCCAAGCCGGCATGGCCTACGGCACAGCCCATATTTTATTTATATTTATATTTTATATATTTATATATATTATATATTATATAAGTTATAATTATAAAATAATATATAGTATATAATATATCAATAAAATAAACAATTGTTTTCAATTTTATTATACTATTTTATTTAATTATTGTATATATAAACAATTGTATACACCAAAATTCATATAACATAAAAATTTTAAGATTTTTTTCAAATTTTTTAAATAAATTGCTTTGGCCTGGTCCATGGCCCAGCTAGGCCTAAGGCTCAGCCCACAGACCAGACCGGTCTGTCGCATGGCACGGCATGATACAAGCCCACGCGGGCTCAGGCCATGGGCCGTGCTGAGCTGACCCCCAAAATATCCCAGGGGAGGGAAGCACGACCCGAGACGGCCCACAGGCCACATACAAGCACTGACACGACCCGTTTTACACCTCTACTAATACCTGAATAAAATGGTTTTGGAAGAGATTGGTAGAAGGTTATCATGTGATATTTCCTTTTATTTTAGAGAGAGCTCTCTTCACCTTATTTTTTTCGCTCTTATACATGGTTTTTGATGTAGGGTGATTTGGCACGACCTCGTAACACGGGGACACGTGGACATGACCTGGCATGAACAACAACTCAGCATGACAGCCTGGCCACTGAAAGCTAAATTACTGTAGCCGAAGTAGCAGAAAAGAGAAGAAGAAGAAGAAGAGATGCAGGAATGTCGAACTTTYYWYTCAGTCGAYAGTACTATTATTTATATTATGGTGTAGTACAATGATACAGGAAGTTACTAGAATGCCCCTGATTAGTGATGGGACACCCAGACAACTTAAAACATTAAAC